CCGCTCCTCCCCGGGCTGGGGCGGGGAGGGGTCGTCCAGGATCCTCTGGAACTGCATCTCCAGGTCCCGGGGCTTGAGCAGGTGGGAGCCCTCGTACAGCCACACCTTGAAGAAGCGGCCCTTGTGGTAGACGGCCACGTGCCTGCTGTCCGGCAGGTGCTGCAGCACATCTGCGGTGAGGCCGGCCCTGAGCGCGCGCCCGCAGGGCGCTGGGGTGCTGGAGCTCGCGGCTACCGGGAGGGGGCGGGCCGCCGGCCGGCCGAGGACACCCCAGGGAGATGCTGCGGGGCCTGGAGCCCAGAGCGGCTCGGGCGCCCCGACTGCCCGCCGCCCACCACTACCTGCCCCTACCTGTCTCCTGGCCGGGGATCCGGGTGGTGTTGAACATCCTCTCCATCTGGTAGGAGCACATGGGCACAATGCCCATGGCCATCACCTGGGGGAGGCCGGCCGGCTCAGATGTGGCCTCCCCTGGCCACCCCTCAGTCCCGCCACAACTCACAGGCCTGATCTCCTCGCGGTCCAGCTTCCGGCGGTACAGGACCATGGCGTGGACGGCGTTGCCCAGGCGGGCGGCCTGCACCTCTGTGTTCTTGACCAGCACAAAGTCCTGGGGGCAGCACAGCCCAGCTGGCCAACGCCAGTGGCTCGCGGTCCTGGTGGGTGCCCGGTGCCCGCCCCCGCCCCCGCCCCCGCAGCGGCTTTGCCCGGCTTATTCATGAAGGGCCATGGGGTGGGGGGGTCAGACGTCCTGCCCTAGTTTCTTGGGGGAGGGCAGGCCCAGCTGCCAGGGGGCTCCTGGGTGACACGGGAGACGCAGGGAGGACGTGTCAGGACGTCCAGGGCAGAGCCGGGAGGCCCCTGGCTGGGCTGGGAGGGCTGAGCCCGGGGCAGCAGCCTGGCCGGGCAGCGCCTGGGTTCTGAGAGCCAGGCTGCTGCCAGGCTGCGCCCGCTCCCCTCTGCCCCTCAGGCCTGCCGGAGCCGGCGGCTCCTGGAAGTGGCCACGCAGAGCCTGCCGCCCTCACCATGGAGTAGTAGTTGCTGTTCACCATGAGGGGGCTTCTGGCACGCAGGTACACGTACTCTTCCCACCAGTCGCTCACCTGTGGGCGGCCGGCGGTCAGCGGGGCAGGGGCTGGGGGCCGCAGGGTGCCAGGACGGGACTCACATAGTTAGTGGCCCACCACGACTTGAACACCAGGTACTTCTGCAGCCGGGGGGCCGTCGTGTCCTGGAACTCCTTGGCCAGCGTCTCCACCCGGTAGTAGCCCTCTTCGTCCAGCAAGGGGCGCACAGACTCCAGGTACTGCGGGCCGGGCTGCGGTCAGCCCCGCCCCGCCCCGCCTCACCCCCAGCCGCCTCTGCAGGGAGGGCCGGTGCCGGCCTCGCCGACCGGGTCTCACCCGCTGGATGGTGGCGGGCACGGCGGGCACCGGGAGCTTGGGCAGGGAGGTCTGGAAGCTGTAAAGCAGGGGCCGGCGGCTGGACAGGAGGCGCACGCAGATCTGGGGCACAAGGCGGGGTGTGGGGTGCAAGCCGGTGCGGAGCCTGGCAAGCCCCGGAGGGCTGGCGGAGACGGGGCAGGCCCGCCCCGCTCCCTGCCGG